CCTAATTATTTAAATTTTCAGAAAGTTCCCAGTCAATAATCAGACTGTTTCAGAATACCTTGCTTTGCCTGTTTATGAGATTTGCCTTGTCTAACCTGTAAGAAGTGCACAAAAGTATAGTAGTGTTTTGTCTTTTAGTTATCCTAGGGTTGTTTTCCATTTTCAACACACAAATTTGAGAAGCAGCATAATAAAAAAGATACTTAGTTGTGTATGTAATGCCTGTCTCTTGTATCTAGGTGATCTCCGAAAATGACCTAGAAGAAGAGGAGACTTAGGAGAACCTTCAGAAATAAATACAACATATTACTGAAAAACCCTATCTTGATACCCTAGCTTGCTTTATATAATCCTTCCTACCAGTAACTAGTAGTACAGTGCAATAGCGATAAGCTGAATGATTACAATTTTTTTCTTCTCTACTTTGTGAGTCATTCATTACTCTGTGATTCTACCAGAGACAACTAAAAATAAATAAGTGAACCTCATTATCAGGAAACATGAGTAATATTGACTATTCTAGTTATTATCCAAGCTGTGATTAGTTGGATGTAAAGTTAAAGATGAAAAATACTTTGAAATATGTTCCTTTAAAAAAATATGATGCTGTGTTAATGGGAAGATGAAGTTTCATATTTGAAATTTCTTTTTCCTTCTGTGCACTAAAACAACCTTGCTGTCCTTTTACGTAACATTTTAACACAAAAATTTACTCTCAAGACTAATTCACATTTTTTAAGAATTACAACCTATTTCTTACTACAAGGAAGAACTTTATATGTCCTGAATTTCTCAAACCACAAGTCCGTTAGTGTAGTACCTGTAATATATGCAGAACTGTCAACATCAGTTGCCCTTCCTCTTTTAGTGTTGGACTATCGAAAAAAGAAGGAATGCATGAAATTCAGGCAAGGAAAATTAGGAATAAAAAAGGCAGATCCTTCCTGTTTTCCCCAACTAAGGATTGTTTAATACTATCATGGCATTTGCAGGTGAAAACAGGTAAGCTTGACAATACTGATGAATGAGAGCATGAATCGAGACTACAGAATTTTTCTCACAGTTGGAAGTGCGTGTGTGTGAGAATATGTGTATTTCTGAGATCTTTTTATGGGAAAAGCTGCAGTTGAGAGTGAGAAGTTTTGCTAAGGAGGTAAGCTAAAAATTCAAAGCTATAAATCATGGGACATGAGACATTATGAGATTTAATTGTTGCTTTAAAAGCTTTGTGAGGATGAAAATGGTGTGCAAGTATTAACTTCTGTCTTGAAACATAAGCAGTACATTGGATAGCATGTTATTAACGGGCTCAAATCTTAATTGTGAAGTTACGTGATTAATAACTTCATGATTCTTTGATAATACTGGAAGTTTTGTGTGAATGTTCATATTTATGAAATCTAAACTTCAGATTTTTAGAATTCCTTTACTGGATTTTCTAGTCATTGTCTACTTCAAATATGCCATGGGATATATTTGCTGTAGACTGTTGGAAAAATCCTCAGTGAGTTATACAAATCATACAGCTTTGCAAGTGACAGGCTTGTTAGTAACAGTTAAGATCAGGCAGTATCTAGGACACTTTTATACATATATATATGTGTGTGTGTGTGTGTGTGTATAATATAAAGGGAGTGTGTGTGTATAAGCTAATGCATGCCATCAGTGATACTTCTAAAAGCAGAGGATTGTGAACTTCAAATTCTATGAGTGGACAACATGTAAAGCTGAATGCCTGAACACTTCCTGAGAAACTCAAGGAGGAGGATGCTCATCTACTTGAAGGAACATATGTATTCATTTGAGTTAAATTGTAATCTCTTACCATTTTCTAACTCAGTAATCAGAAAACTGATTTCCAGTTCTCAGCGGTAATAAAAATTTGCAAATCTGCCCATAATGGAGACTCTATAAAAGTTAGTCAAAAGGAATTTATGTAAAACCTAGTCGAGTGCCTATATCTTACCCTGATTACAAGGTAACATGATAAAGAACTAACAAAATCATTTATCATAGCTAGGAGCTGAAGTTTCATTAACATTCAAAGAGACAGTGCATTTTAGAATATTTCTGTACAGTGGAAAATGTACTAATTACGGTTAGCGGCAAGGTTTGGATGTTGTCAGAAACCCCGTAGTAAGAAAGAATTAAGCATTCTTGCATCTATGTAATGTTTCACTTAGTAAATACAGCACTCGGGGTTTGATCGAGTTCTCTCTGTCCTTGGTGGAAGGAGTCTCACACTTTCACTCTCTCTTCTTCTGTTGCTGTGGGGGAAATAGAACCAATCTAAACAGTGTCTGGCCAGTTTTCTTGATCAGCTTTTGAAAAATGATCACCTCATGGAGCGTTCCCTTCTATACCCTCCGCGTTTGATGTGGCCTCACACAATCAGAGTAAAAAGGTCTTTTCTCTTTCTCCTAGATTACAAACAGATTGCTTTTCAAACTGAAGATTTACTCCGTGGTGGTTTTGGATCGATAACCAGGACCTAGTTACGTTTCCTTTCAGTTGGTTGGTGTTTGCTTGCACCCCTTGATCAGGCCTTAGCAGCCATGCCCACCTTGGAGAATTTTAGCAGTAGATGCCCATTAAGAGCCTGAATGATGAGCCAGCAGCTGCTTTTGCTTTCTGCAGGAACCTAAAAGGAGGAATAATTTTATGTCATTTCCACAGCAGATAGCTACTGTTGTCACCAATTTCTTTAGCATTATTTGGGTGGCAAGATGGTGCCTGCCTATCCTTTCCTTTGTAGTGGAGAAAGTAGAATACACAAACTCCAACAGCATGGATGTGCACGCACAGATCAGAGTGGAAAAACTCCTTAATATATTTGGGCTATTTTGCCAGCTATCTGTATTATGTGTGTACCAATAAAGACAAGGCAAGTCATGTCAAATAATGGCTGGCCTTGCTTGTTACAAGTATGATCGAGATGACATTTGTAACTGGAGAGAGGAAAAAAAACAGGATTTCCAGGTTACTGAGGTGAAAGAGGTGGAAAACTATTTGTTTTGGTTTGTTTTCAGGGCAACGTAAACTGTTTCTGAGGTTCCCATCACAGCTGCTCAGAGCATGCAGAGCTGCTGAGGGCAATTGATATTCTGGTCCTATCCCTGCTAACTGTGACAAGGAAATAGTAATGCCCTCATGGCTGAGGGAGCTGGAGCAGCCAGCTGGGTAGGTGAGAGAGGCAGCTAAGTCCTGCAGCAAGGACCTGGGAGATCCCAGCCCGGGGGCAGGTTTGCCGAGAGCCTGGATGCAGTTCCCCTGGAGTCCTGCCTGGACTAAGCTTCAGAACTATGACTTTGAAGAAAGCATTCCCTTCTCCTCCACTCTTTTGTCTGCATGTGTTTGTCTAAGTGGGCATCGGTCTGGCTGGTTCTGACTGAAACTTCTGTACAAGCCCAAAGCTCCCCTAGTGTTCAAGCTTTTCCAGGTGCGCTGGCACTTCACAGCCTGCTTCTGCACCAAAACCATTCTGCAAAGACAAGATTATGCATATCCGTTTGTATTCCAAGTTTTTTTGCTGACGTTATTAAGGTAATTTAACATTGCTGTAAATAAAAGAAGTATTGTATTCTAGTCTATTATGTTTTCTTTTCCATGTTAATTAATTATTCCTGGTAAATTGGAATCTTCTCCATATAGAAAAACGTAGTTCCTTTCCACCTAGTCCGGAACAGCATATTGTTTTAAGAGAATTATGTGCACTTGAAAAAGTACTGAATGTAGAGGAAGGGTACTTGGAAGAAAAAAAAAGGTAGGATTGAGCTGTCACACTGGAAAAATTCTTGCAAGGAAATGAGTCATTAACCTGTCCTAGTGTTTTGCACAATCATTTTCATTATGGGTAGGAGAGATTGTCTGTACCTGCACAGAGCTTCAAGTTGATATGAATGTTTGAGTTTCAGGGAATGAGTGGGCACTGAGTCCATTGTGAGTAAGTTGACAGCATGCCGAAGTATGCATTTGTCTGCTTTAAATAGGTAACAGTGATTAAAATAGCACTTTGGAGATGATGTTAAAAAAACCCTACCAGAATGATTTAATTTGTTCAGCTACAATCAATTATTGCTTCAAACTTAGATGGCATGAAGTCATTCAAGATTTGGCCATGTTCTTACACAATTATGGTAGCTATACCGTGGTTTTTGCAACTTGCGCCAGCAGCAGTTACTGATAGTTAACATAACAATTCATAGTTGCTGTAACAATACTGATTGTTCCTGCAGACCTCTACTTATGAGGTATGACTTCCGTAACTGCATTTTTTGCTGGAAAGGTTTGAGCTTTTGCTTACAGAATTTTCGTTATATCACTTGATGGTATGTTGTATTTCTCAAAATGTTGTTCTCTGTTCTTCCTACACAGTTCATTGGTGTTTGTATACTGTAATGTTGGTTGTTGAAAAAGATTTTTTGAAGTCAAAGTGAATTCCTAACTACCTACACCATTTAAGACTGGTTGCTGAGAGGTTTTCTTAAAAGAGAAGCCTCCATAGCTCCCCTGAGCAGAACTAGAGATACCACAACTATCCTTTCCACCAAGTTTATCATAGATGTTGCCGTATATGTGAATGTAAACAAATAAATAACAGTCAAGTAAATCTTAGATACCTGATACAGATGAAACAAGAACATTTTAACATTTAGGTAGGTATATATCTAAAAATGTAAAAACCCATTCCCTAGTGACCACAATTCCATGCTTTCTCTAAAAACTTTTATTAAAGGACTTTTCATAAAGTAGTAGCTTTGTCAACAGCTTAAAAAAGTATTTTTAAAAAATTGTGATGCTCTGTTGCCAGAAATGCTAACGCCAGCCTCGGAGACAGCAGTAGCCGTTTCCTAATTTGTTTTTTCATTTCTATAAAACACTGTGTAGGTATGTAATCAGGCTACATTGAGACTTTGTTTATTCAAGTTTGACAAGTGCTCTGCTTCTGAAGTTTGTTTTAGTAGAAAAAGTACAAACTATTCAAATGTTTATAAGCTTCAAGAAACTGGTACCAAATACATAGTTTATTTACTGAGTACATGCAAGTTATAAGCTAAAGAGCCAGTTCCATCGGGTCACCTAGAGAAAATATTACTATAGGAAAAGTTAATTGGCTGCATGCTTATTTCCCATCACATTGTCTTCTGGATTGACTCTGTTGCACCATGTTTCATTATATTCAGGAGAAAACTGAAGAGACATATTTAAAGCAAAAGTCTGGCTTCTTTGCTGCTACTGTGTTGTTTTCTTTCTATTGGATACTTCATTGGTGATTGCGTGGTTTGATTGTGGTTCCGCACGGTGTAGTCATAGCTGCGCTTTCTGGGAAATAAGGAACATCCTTCACCTTTGTTTTTTTTTTCATTTTCTTTTTTTTAAACTCTCTTTCAGAATTCCCCACTCTACCAGTATCTGCAGGATTTGGGACACACCGACTTTGAAGTATGCTCAGCTGTGTCACAGAAGGCAGAGCAATGTGCAGCAGAGGGAGGCCATCAAGAATGGACTGCTCATGCTGCCCAGAAAGTGAGCATTCTTCTGCTCCCATGCATTTATCTTCTCAAAAGAAAACTACATCATTTCACCAATAGGAAAAATCAGAGAGGATAAAGAGTAAACTGTTACTATACAAAAAGTTAACAATAGCAGTTGCCATATCTTATCTGTTAATGTATTTGGAAACATGGTCTGCTAATATAGTCCGAAATGCTCCTTTGCATTTATGTAAGCTAAGACAGCAAGGGATTTTAATGGTAAATTTTTCAAGAGTTGTAAATTATATTATTTATTGGATACTCTTGTGTTATCTTAGCATGGCATACTGTGAACAAAACCTGTAATTCTCTGGAACAAAATATTTATAGTTCCCAGCCCTTCTCAGGCATTCAATTGCTAAATACCACTTTGTAATAAAACATATTAAGAAAGAGGATTTCTGGGAAGTATAAATAAAATAACCGATCTGAATGAGATAGTAGAACTGTGCTTAGGCTATGGAAATGTTGTAATAGTAACAGCTGATGATCATCATCAACTGATTAGCTCAGACTTTCTCCTTTTTAAATATAGGCTTGTGGATTTTTCTTTTAATATTTTAGTATTAAAATTATGCTTGAGAATTAAGAGCCTAGAGTTTAAGAAATTCTAAAAAAAAAAAAAAAACACCAGTTCTTAAAAGTTGTTAGATCTTTAGTTTGCCTTTTTAACATGTACTTTGAACTACACCTTTTTTTGTTTTCCTTATTAAAAATAAGTGGTAGTTATTACTATTAACAGTGAATCACACGAGGACCTGCAATGTGGGCCAGAAAATTCCTCTCTTTGCTGATCCTAAAATTGACAAATATACTCAAAATTCATTAGTCTGTCTTCTCCTTAGCACCTAGATGGAGCATGCCAAGAGCAGTTATTTTCTGCCTCTTTCTCTTCCACAGTGGAGAGTTGTTTTCAGTGGACATGCCCCAGCTATGTGCTAAGCCAGGAGGGAAACAGAGGCCTTCGTGCAGACTTCTCTATCCAGGCCACTGCTTTGGGGGGAGGGGGGCGCGAGGCAGAACCTCACAGGTAAGAACCTAAAACAAGCATTCATGAATTGACTTGTTACCTCTGAAAATTACTATTTCTTTCTCCTCTCTCCCCACCACCTGCTGCAGCTTCCATCTTTGTGCACCTTAGGTCATCTGATTTTTGTCCACTATGGCTTTTAACCTTGTAGAGCTCAGTTTTCCTTATGTTCACTCCTGCTTTATACCTCTTCTGCCACCTTCAAATCAGAGTTTCACTACCCCTTCCCTCTCATTTGTAACCAATACTGCTTCCCTGCTCTACTACCTTCCACCCTCCTGATTAGCAGGCAGTGAACTATGGAGAGCATCCTATTTCTTCCCCAAAGCAGGAAAGATGGTATGAATGGCCCTGAGTTCTCCAGCAGGGAGACCCTCTGGATGCAGTGGATGGGGGATCATGTGGCAAATGGGGTGAGCTGACAGATGTCTACTTCTAATAGGATCTTTTCTCAAATAATGCCATCTTGATGTATATCCTCTACGTAGCACTCGAGATGCTTCAAGGAATTAACCTTGGAATGGTCACAGGCTTTAGTGACTAATAGTCACAATAGGCTTTATTTTGACCCAAAAAAACCTGTGTTTTATGTGTGTCCCTCTTGCTCCCTCTTTGTTTTAGATCATAAACGTTTTTTCTCAAGGATCTCTTGTCCTTGAAAACAGTAGACTGTTGTGGTACTCAAGGCGGTCTGTTCTATTCTGTGTAGGATCTTAGGTGGGGCAGGATTCAGAAGTGTATGAATTGATGTGGAGAATATCAGTCTTAGGTTTTTTCTCTGATCTGGAGAAGAACGTGTGGTTCTTGAAATGTTTGTAGTAGTATGGTATACATTGGTCCTTGTATGTATACAGTCTTATGAAGTGGAAATTTAGAAGTTATAGTATGAATCTTATTCATCTAGCAGTATTCTGAGAAGTGTTAGTATGTCACATTTTCATATAGTGCTGTCCATTTTAGCCACTCTCTGTTTAGGCTGTATGAACTTCCTCACACACTCATTACTACATTTGAAAAGACAGGGTAATAAAATGTGAAATGTTTTGTGGCGGTCTTTGGTCCTGTTGGAGTATTTCTGCGTGGCTAGACCAGTCATAGTTTGTTTGTGCTCATCTGATGGGGCAGGTACATTGGGTGCTTTGCTTCACAGCTGTGATCCACAGTGGCTGAAACTTACAGTCCTATGGAAGTATACTATGTCTCCCTTCTTGCCGTCATACCCTGATTTCCTGTCAAAGATGATCATGTAGATAAGACACAGATGGGGGTGCGTACAAATTGAGCAGGCTTGTTAATATCGCTAGGTGAGTATCACCCGTGGAATAGGCAGAATCTGTGGTGCTACTGTTTAAAAAATAACCATACTATAATAAGAAACCCTAAGTTTTATAATGGTATGTTCCGCTACTCAGCCCTGCTCTTGTAGAATTACAAATCTTCAAAAAGTTGAGCAATAATGTAGAAAGAAAATCCCAGGAGCTTCATACGGAACTCCAGTCTCCTATGCTGCAGGGTTTGTGAGGCCAAGAAACAGATTAACTCTGGGAGGAAGAGAAGTGATCCTTTCAGTGTCTCTGTGCTTCAGCAGCTGATTTCTCTCATGCAAGTTTTTTTTTTTTTAATTTAATATATAAATTGATTTCTAGTTACTGTTGATGCGAGTAGCTGTTACATTAGTAGTAATAACTACTGGCTTCTGTCAGGGGTCTTGAGGCAAGGCTGAATGTGATTCAGGATTTAGCATACTTTACTATACTGTTAATTGAAAGCAAGGTGACATATTTGATTGGCTGATGATCCGTTCATTATTTTGAAGTAATGAATGGACTATAGCTTTCTAGTTGTATTACTTTATTTTGCATATTCACTTTTGCAGCAGTCGGTAAAACAGTATGATGCTGAGTAATATGTATATAATCATGTATATAACTTCTGTGGAATTTAATACAAAAGTGCCATGGGCTTAAGAACCTTAAAAGAATTAAGATATACTACTTTTAAAAGCCTCAAGTATTTTTTTTTCCCCTTCCTTCCCCTCAAGCATTTTACTCTTAATTTATTGTGTTGGGAGTAAGTCCTCTGGCCTTGTATCAGCTCTAACAGTAATTCTTCATCATTTGCCATGTAACTTGAAGGCAGAGGGTGTGTGAAAATGGGTTGTCCATTCCTTACAAATAGTAGGATGACATTCATGTTGTCTCACCTCAGTCTAGACAAGAATACGTAGGAAAAAAAGGAAGCCTATGTGCAATTTGGAGCTGAAAAATGTCATAGGTTTTTCCAGCTTTGTTCTAGTACCAGTTTGGGAACATTAAAACTTTTATTTTGTGTTCTGATGTCAGAAAGTCTGTTTTTATCCTTTGATTTCTGTTTCAATGTCCCGTTTTGGCCTCAAAAGGAAAGGGAATGAGAGAGAGGCAGGTGGCCATACATTTAAAGTAGTAGACGGAACTAAGGAGAATATGAGGCTCTCCTGCAACTTCTGTATGACGTACAGGCAAGACATGTAATTTTCCATCCCATAATTTCCTCATTTTTAGATGAGATGGTTATCACTTCCCTTTTCGCACCCGTTGCTGACCTAATCTACTGAAATTATAACATGTCTGGGAAACAGAGGGCTTCTGAGTTCTGAGTATTACCTACCCACATGTCTAACATAATATGATGTTGGTTGAGGTTTAGTGTAATGCAAATAACATAATCACAAGGAGTAGATGATGTTCCATGGTGAGTGGTACCTAGTATATTTGTGTTATTTTCTTTATGTTCTGAAGAGTAAATTGACAACTGCCTTAAACTTTTAAGATATTTTGATGTTAAATGCAATTAAGACCAACGGCAGATACAACAGAAATTTTGGCTTTCTTAGGTTATCATGGTCCATTTGTCACTCCAAGTTTTCTACTAGATCCAAAGCACTCTGGCATCTGAAATGATACTTTTTTCTTCAAAAGACAATTAGCTCTCTAATGAGACCATCTGATTCTGGTTTTCTTCCTCCTGCCGCTGTCTATACTGCTGGATGCAGGAATCTTTCTGACTGGAAAAAGAGACAAATATGTTCCTAAAGAGATAAGTGGGGTTTGTTTTTTTTCCCTAGGCTGTCAGCTGACTAATAGTGGAAAACGCACATTAGAAAATCTGTAGCATTACTATGTCTTTTAAAAAGAGCTGAGATTGTTTTCTCCTCTTGTATTCAATCAAGGAGGAATCCTGTTCAGATGCAATCTTGTGAGATGCAGCAAGATTTTTGCAAGGCAAAGCTCTTGTTTGGACTTCAAGAACTGGGAGAACAATTCTGGATCTTCTGACTGATACAAACTTTGCTGCTGTGTCCTGCTATCCTGCCAGGCAGAGCATATGGTTCAGGTTTAATGAAAGATACAGGCATAAATTGAGCTTCAAGCACGTTTTTAGGAGGATTTTTTTGTGTACTCAGAGCATGGTCTAAATGAACATTGAGATGAAAAACTATGTAAGTGCTTCAAGACTGTATTCTGAGGGCTGATGAAATGCCACTCTTCCTTCTGAGGCAGTACAGAGATATTTCGCGTGGTAATTATAGGTGTAGTCTTTATGGCTCTGCCAATCTCTGGAGAATGTTACAGCTTAAGTTCTGATCTTGTGATCATCTGATGTTCAGAAGCACTGTTTACAGAAGTTCCTAGACCTGTTTTCTGGAGTTAAAACGTAATTGAGTAATTCTGCTTGATTTTTAAGGTATTTATTTCTTCCCATTTACGTGTTTCCTTTTTCATTAATTTTCCCAGACTGCTGTACCTGTCTGAATGTCTTGATTGATTATAGTGTTGCACCTTATTCCACCTTAGATGTGCTAATATTTAATCACTAGATCAGGGCTGGTGCTGCAGGCAGCTGCTGAGGGTTGTTGCTGGGGCTATCCATCAGCAGCCGTGCAGGTGACCCGATGTGGGGAGGCAGAGGGACCATTCTTTTGCCTTCGTCTAGGGCTCCCACCCATTTAATGCTGGGAGCTAGTTAATATGCAGTATTATCTTATTTCTGAAGTGCACAGAGTTGAAAGGTGCCATGTGAATGATGATGTTTTAGATACCTGCTAGTTTGCTGTTTCAGGCTCATCTGGTACAAAAGAGAAGTATTCATAAGTGTTTTATTTTCAATTCAAATGAATATACCTAAAATGTGCATGTATAGGCAATACGCTTGGAGGTGTATGCCTTTATTATTCAGTTTACAGAGAGCTTATTTGCCTGACTTGTGTTCTACAGTTGTAAAAAGAATACTCCAAAAGCATCAGCAACATGACCTGACTTGTGTGTTGACACAAGTTGTTTTACTTGTCAGTAACACTCCCAATGGGAATGCAAGCTGTAAGACGCTCCTCCAAGGATCTTAATAATTGAATGTGTTACTGCACTCTCCTGGGTCACAGCCCAAGACAGTGCATTGTCTTGCTTTGTGTTTTCAAGCACTGGCATGCCTGTTGAGTGTTTTTGCAAGTTCAGTTTTTTATTTTTAAACCAAAACATGACATATAAGACAAAAGATTACTTACCTAGCACATTAGCTTGTTGGGTTTTTTTTTCCTCAGTAGTTCCAAGGGCCAATTTAATTAGCTGGTAGCAGTTTAAAACTATTTACGATATAGTTTATGATGCTTTTTTTCTTCCTCTGATTAGACTTATGCCAGTGCCTCTGAGCGACATCAACATCTTTGTTCACGCAGTGGGGGAGAATCTTGCTTTTACCAGCACTCCGTCTTCTTCCCATCCTTACTAATAGTAATGATAGAAAGTAGTACTAGAACAGGCCTCCTAATTTAGTGATACCTTGTCCAGGACTGCTCTTGAAAGTATATTCTCTAACACATTTCAAATCCTCTCTTGGGTGTATTCTGCAGTCTAAGAAGTGCTAATTGCTGGGATAGCTCCTCTTATAAGCCATGATGATAGCTGTTTCTACAAAAGAACTATCATTATGAAACCTGTAGTGTTGGTTTATCTCTCTGCTAAAATAAAAATACTTCCTTTTGGCATAGGTGTGTAATTCTAACTGTACACAGAAAGGTGAGGCATATGCAAGGGAAAACTTGAGTTAGGTTACCCAAACGGCTGCAGAAGTGAGTTATTTCAAAAATTGTTCCATGAAGCAAAAAAGCTTTAAGATGAAAATTTCTAATGTTATTCAAATTCATTCTGCCCTGGCTTGCTGCCTCAAACTTCTGTCATAGTGCCTTTCAAAGGGATGTCAAACGGGTAGTTTTGGCTGTTCTACCTCCAGTGCCTGCTGTGACGCTATTCACAGGGCTAAGTACGGAGCTCAATAATTCTGATGTTCGGTCTCATTTGTCTGTTTCCAAGCTCATAGTTGGAACCCTGATGGAGAACTCTGTATTGCTCTTCTCACACAGCTGCACTGGAAGCATTTTGGTAGCTTATATTGGAAAAGGTTTGTACCTGGCACTGCAGAGTTCAAAACCTTGGTGTCAGTTCCTCTGGGGAAGAGTGACTCTACAGCTGTATGTGGTAGAGTTCAGTTTTAATACTTCTCTCTCTTAAAATGAGAAAAAAGGAAGAAGTTAATTTAATGCAGACACCCTTGTAGGTTAAGTTATTGTAATCTCTTGTTTTTTGAAACAATATGCCAGAAAATGCAAGTGTTCCACCATTCGGTTGTTTGGTATGCATTTCAATTGATTGTGTTGCCTGTGGGCAGTTTGAAGATTAAGAGGTAGGGCCCCAGAATTCATGAAATATATGCAAGTAAATATTTTGAAAAATAATTCCTGTCAGGTCAGTCTGAGAAAAGTAGCTAATACAATGCATGCCAAAAATTTTATTTTTTATCACTAAATGGTTGCAGAGTGAAGCAACATCATGCATCTATTTAATTATCATCTTTCATGCATTGTATTTTAGGAAGACACTTGAGTAAAATGTGTGATGACAGAGAGAGTCCCTCTTAATTAGTAGTTTTCAAAGGTACGTGTCCAGCTTAGATGAAGGTCTGGATTTAGGTTACGTTAGAAGCAGCGTGGAGAGAAAAATACCTCATAGCAAATGCTTATGTGTCAGGGAATTTTTGGGACCGTTTCTGTTCTTGTGATCATTCTTCCCTGCCTCTGTTGACTAGTCCTCCAGAGTCTTTCTTACCTCAAGCTCTGACAGTCTTACAGGGAGAGATGGTTCCTCACCTGGTCTTTTACTTCTCTTCGGTCTCTGTCAGCCTTTTAACCACTGCTTTTTTATCTTCAAGGAGCGAAAGGATTTTTCATGCTTGTGCAGCAGTTGCCAACCTAAGATCAGACTAATCCTAACTGTATTTGTTTTTAAATGTACAGCATAACAGTTGATTATACTTCGAATAGGTGGGGTTAATGAAAGCTTTATTTCACATTCTCGTGTACAGGCAGGTTGACCGGAAGCAGATGTTGCCTTAGCATACTCTGAAGTTAGGCCAGATAGAGTCAGTGAAACTTCCTTACAGGTATTTGTGTCTCTGAGTTAACAAGAGAATCAAATGCATAAATAAAGGAATTGTTTGGGTAGTATTTATTTTTTTGCTTTGTTTTTTAATCAGAGTAATTTTTTTTTCCCTTCAGCAAGGCATCCTGTCAAAACTAGCTGAGTCCTTTAGAAGTTGGTTTCCTTTTCCACAGTATAAGAAAAATAATGACATTCTTCACCGACTGGTAAGTGTTTACTTTTTTTTTTTTTAATTTCCTTTCCTAATCCACAAATCTTCCTCTCCTCTGTATCTCATGCCCATAGCACTTCCTTGGTTCGTATTTGCTGGTTTGGGTTCTAAGAGGCTTACTTACTTTTCAGATAACATAACTGACTGATTTTCAGAGCTACTGGAGGTTTTGGAAAACTGTGCCAGGCAAATTGGTCACAGAAAAAGGGGAAAATATCAGTGGTCAGCTTAAAGATGTTCAAAATATGGAAGAGATTGTGAGAAATTAAAGAAATTCTTGAAAGTTGAAAAGAGTTACTATACAGTGTAACTACACCATGCAGTGGAAGGCAGTGCAGAGACCCTGAGCCATTAAGTCCATATGTTGCAGTCATTCCAGTGCCTTGCAGATACAGCTCAAGACAGAAAGGTCTAGATCTTCATCTGCACGTTGCCTCACCATTTCAGCTTGTTAGTTCAGGCAGAGCACCATGCTTGTGTAGCTCTTCTACCCCATAACCCAGCCTGGCTTATCTGTTTCTGCATGGCTCTCCAGAGTGCTTTTGCATTTGGGAAAAGCATTAACGAAAAGCTAACTAAGACATCTCAGTTGCAATACTTCAGAACAGTTATGCATTAGCAGCAGATAATGCCTTTGTAGTTTGGCTGTTGGGACAGGCAAGAAGAGTTCTCTGTATTACCTATGTTCTCTGTATTACCTACTTCACAGCAGTTCAGAACTAGATTTGGATGTCCATCTGCTTTACTAGAAGTTTTCTTCTCCTACTCTTAGACTTGACAGGAACTTTTAGGGCTCAAGTCTGTCTGTACGGGATAGACCCGAAAGGTTATAGGTCTACCCCAGCTAGTTAAAAATAGTTTTATGCCACTTTTATGTCCATTCTCTACAAAGCTACTTTCTAGCCAGTTCAAACTGTAGCCTAGGCTGGTCTGAGTTCCCCTAGACTTGCACCCAACTGCTTCTGGTTCCTTGTCTTGCTTACAGTAGTTAAAATGTAAAAGCATTCAAGTACACCTTTATCTTAGGCTACATCAGGTCGTACGCAGATGATCCAATTCCAAACCAGGATGCTCTTTCACTGCAGGATTTCCCTGTGGGCCTCAAGCTTTGTGGGTCTTTGCGAAACTTGATAAATGGTGCACGTAAAAGCAGAGAAACTAGAGTCCATATTTGCTTCTCTTAGAGACAGCATCTGGCTAGCTCAGATATACAAAGCAGGTTTTGTATATCATTTTCATTTGGATATGTCATGTTAGTCAGAGTATTCCAGAATCTAAAGAGCTAGAAGTTTGGCTTTTTTCTACTGTGATATAGAAATGAAGTGTTTCAAACGTAGCTTCAAAAAATAAAATATTGAGCAACACGAGATATTAGGGGTTTCCATTTCTCTGAGAGCTCTGCCAAGTCTAATTGCTAATCCTTCACCCTTATCTCAAGAGGACAAAATTTCTTCTGAATCTTCTCAGTGCTGATCTTTGGTTGTCTTTTTTTGTACTCCCTCTTCCCCTTTTAACCAAAGGTATTATCTTCACAGCTTTGTTAGCCTTTACTTTCTTGAGAGGCTGACACAGCCAAAGAGTACGGAAAACGTGTTTCTCCTGTTACATGCCACAGCAGGGTACTGAAATGGCACAGGATATATTGGAGGAGGGCTGAGTTTCTTCTTGAACACAATTCTGAGACAAATCTTTTTCAGTAAATATGGAATACAAGTTATCTAGAGTGACATCAATGTATGGAATTACATTTCTGACTAGCTAGCTTACTCTTTCATAAGTAGTCTTATTCTGTCAATGACAGAACTAAAAGGATTTTGTACTGTGAAATTTCAAACTTCTGGTAACAGCTTCTATCAGAGGGGGCTGTTTTATAGAAACAGTCTCCTTTCCCTCCCGTAATCTAGCTAGACACAAAGATGCGTATGTTCAGTGTTTGTTAGGTTGTATAATAACATTTTTAACTTGGAAGTGTTTTGTAATTATAGTTTGGTGCAGTATGCAAATTAAAATTTCAGAGGGCTTCACTAATTCATATATTTGTGTTCAGGAACTGCATATTTGTCTTGAAGAGCTATAGCTATAGGGAAAG